ATATATATATATATATATATATATATATATATATATACATACCAATAAAAATATTTGTCACAATCATTTTTTGTTTAGATAAAATATGGATATGAAAGAGAAATATAAGCCTTTATTAGAGTGTATACTACTATTCTTTTATATACAAATTATCAAAAAACAAAATCATTGCTACCATCTTCCATCTCTTTTGGATCTCTTTCTCCCTTTCTAACATCATAAAACCCTAAACACAAAATAAATATGGTGATCAAGCAAGCTTGAAGGAGCTGTTCTCATTCTTCTTTCTTGTCATAATATTACCGCAGTTTTATTCCTTTTTTTTCCTGTCTATTATTTATCATAAAATCATTTTTATCATCATTTACCATTAGAATTGCCAAAACCATCTCTACTATTACATTGCAATTTTTTTCTTATCACCGTTGCTACTTCCTTAAGATCATGAATTGCCCACTCATACTATCACTATGAGCATGAAATGAGTTGCATATAAATTTTCCTTTGTTTTAGTCTTATGTTACTATCAAAAGTGCTTGTTTTGGGACCTAACACAAACATCATTGTCTCTTTTTGCTTGTCAAATATAAACCCTTTTCGATTGGCATAGCCTAATATATAGGTGTTGGTGATTTAGGGTGGGTATAGTGGAGATGATAGGAGAGAGCCAACTATTTGAGCTCGGGGAATGACTTCCTATTCCTACCTTTGTTTAGAACAGTAGCAACAGTGATGATGGTGATGGTTTAGGTGACAACTAAACTATTGATGGTGGCAATTGGTGGCTGAGAACAAAAGAAACGAATGGAATCGATTCTCTTTGAGTTTGGACAGTGATTCCTCAGTAGCAATTGTGGTTTTGGCGATATCCATAGTGAAACATGCATAGACAGCCTAAGAGAAGAGAGAAGGATGAGAGCCATATATGCATTGTGGTCTTCCATCTCCTCATTCTCTCTCCTCTTCTTTTGAGGTGAGGGGTGAGAGTTGTGCACATTAATTTCAGTGATCTTTAGAATCCCTAAAGCATATTGCATGTCTTTTTTTGTTGCAATTACAACTCTTTGTTTTTTGTTTCTTGTTCATGAATTTCTAGGAAATATTGGAAAATTCAGTGCATGAAGTTGATTACCATACTCCATACTACTTGCTTTGCTCTTCATTCTATGGAGAATTTAACTTCTATTTTATGGTAAATATCATGAGTTCTTATAATCTATCCAAAATATAGTTCTTAGCATTCTAAGAAAAACTGATGTAAATCTCTCTAAATTCAGTGTGATTCATGCTCATGTCTAAATCTCTCTATTATTATGATCATATTAGGACTTATTATGCGTATAATAATTAAACACTTGATAATATTGTGCTTCCTAATCCCCGGTTTCATCGGTGGACTAATAGTATTATTATATGCTAGATAATTAATATATTTATATATCATGAAAGTGATCTATCTAATCAACCCATCTAATTGAGCACTTGGTTAATCGTTGTTTCACCGATAAATATCCATTATATTTTTGTAGTACAATTTGTTCTAGTTTAACTTAATACGACTATAGCTTTGGAGTTGTTTACTCACACCAAAATTTGCTAACCTTCTTATACATAATGCTAGTATTTGTAACTCATATAGCCTATACACAATGTATTTTCCAAGGTGAATACTTGGAACATTGAAGCTTCTCCTTGTGAGACTTGCAATAGCTTCTTTATTAGATGGTGGTAGGAGTTCCCTAATGGATCTAACTTAGTACATATTTTAGTTTAGACAATTGATCATTCACTAACCCAGTCATGTTTTTTAGATTTTGATATTATTTATAGTACAAGATTCAATTACTAATTGATCATTTACTAACTCATTTACTATCTCATGTGTTATGGCATTATCTTTTTTTACCTCAAATTCGAGTCACTCTTCAATTATACCATTATACATATACATACATACATACATACATACATACATACATACATATTATATATATATATATATATATATATATATATATAAAGTTAATAATTACATGTATATTTCATTATTTGACAATTAGGGTATAGATAGCAATAAATTATTTTTCTCATCCTTCTTCTTTCTTTCTTTCTTTCTTGTTTAAATACGATAGTAATGGATTATTTATTTTTCTCAGAAATATTCATTAATATGGCGAATATTTTCCATTAGACGAATCTCACCAAAAATAAGTTGACTCATCCACCACATCAATATCAATAAGATAATTTTTTAAAAATCAACCATAGATCTTTCCTATTAATATAAGATTATAGCACTATGTATAGGATGCCTTTTTAGTAGGTATTTTTTTTAGTGATGTCGGCTAGCTTATGGGGTTAAGATTCTCACTATTTATCATTTATAATAATAATAATAATAAATAAATAAATAAATAAATAATAAATAATACCTCGATATTGAAAATAGAACCAAATTATTTTCAAATTTGATCATCAATAGGGCCATCATTTTTCGATTTAGTTAAAGTCAATATATCAAATTGACGATCAAAATTTAAGCTGAATTCAGAGAGGTAAGTCGAATTAGGGTGTTGGTTGCAATGTAATCATTTAAGCTGAACATGGTGACATAACGTGGGAACACAGCAAGGAAAAGAAGTCGTAGTAGAGATGGCCGATCGACGGGGCGCGGCCGCCATCTCCGAGGGGGTTTGGCCTCTAGCGGAGTTCGCCACCAACCTGTCGTTGGCTTTGCATGATGAGGACGCAGAGTTGGGTAGCGAAAACTTGAAGCTTGTCTGGGCAAATAAATCATGATGGAAGCGACTCGGCTGTATCGATTTGGGCAGACAGGGTCACATGAAAAGCAGGACCATCACATCCCATGGCTGAAGCAGATGAAGCTGCTGCTGCTGTGCCTGCAGTCCTACCACCCTCGAGTCAAGAAAGAAAAAAGGAGAGCAACTTTAGCCATGGTCGCTGATGGTGTGGGGGTGTGCAGTACCTGCAGCAGCTCCTGCTGCAATCGTTCTCGTAAGACTAGCAGGATTTGTTTCGTTGGGTGGGAAGGGAAGGGCGGAGCTGCGCCTGTAGTGCTCTTCTGTTTGACTTCTCGGCGGCGTACACGCAGTAGGAGGAGGGGGGGCGGTTTGGTTCGGCATAGTGGGGCAGAAGCGGCGGCAGCCACCAGAAGAACAGTGGTCGATTTAAGTCGTTGCTGCTGTTGCCCGACCACCCGTCGCAGTGCGCGTGACATGTGAGTGTTCGGTGCTGCTTTGGACTCTCCACAGCACAACAACATGTCATCTCTTTGGACTTGCATGGATGAAGGAATTCATATTATTTAGTAGTTATATTTGAACAATACTTGTGTAACATAGAGACATTAAAATTCATACAAGTCGATGCCATATCCTTTGCTATCTATCCAAAGGTGTCGGGTCACGGAGTCAAAATCTTCTTAATTGAGTTGGGGGTGTCAAGTCAATCAATCTTAGTGCCAAGAGACATGGGGTGTCGAGTCGCAAACTCAATCAATCCCAAACTAAGTTGGAATGATTTTACAAAATGAAACCATCAAACATAACTCGTTTGACAAGGTAGTCGATCCAATGTTACAATTAGTACAATCATATCAACCACGTGTGTCGAATTAACAATAACCTGACATTCGAATGTCGGCAGGTCCAAATATATGAACTCATCAATTCGACTCGGATGTCCACATCTTAGTTTTGCAAAGTATAAATGGTGAGGACGAGTTTAGATCTTAGGACCTCATGATAATCTAACAAAATCTCTACAATTGAGCTTAAAATCTATCAAAATTATAAGATGATCCAAACAAGTTTAGGGGGACCAATCAATAAGCATGGATATTTAAGGAAAAACTATCCAATTATACAAAATTATCAAAATTACCATGTACTTGACCCATGGACACTACTTCAACAAGCTAAAGTAAGTTGGTTGAATTTAAAGTTGGATTCATGGGGGGTCGGGTCAGATACTAATATAGAATCTCACAAACTACATTAACCATAGGGGCCAAGATGTTTCATTGGTTTATGTAAATAGTCTCAGCTACACTAAGATATGGCACAATCATACACACACAGATTCAAGCATCGTAAACTTGAGACCTACACAAATCAGCATTACATCCGTCATGCAAAACGTAATTGTGAGAAATATATTCAACCAACAGTTGTCCGAATAGTAGGCACCAAGAAAATCCAATACAGGACCTAATAAAACATATAACCAAGAGAATCATGATCTTTATTGTGGAAAATTAAAGGAAAAAAAGCAAGAGAAATTAATTCCAAGACATCTACGGCACAACCGAAATAACTACATCTACCGTACGAATAACTTGGTCTGATGTCGAAGCATGGGTTATAAAAAGATCAAGCCAAACTCGGAAACGCTAACCAGATAGTCCAAAGCTCTCAATTGACAACAGTCGGAACGAGGGCGAACACATGCAAAAATAAGAAACTACTGGTGGAGCTTTACAACAGAATTGTCATTTACCAAAATTTGAAAATACAAAATGTAAAAGCATGAAGATGAAAGCTCAGTCATCACTAATCCTGCCAATTCCCCTATATGAACGCTTCAATATTACTGCACCCTGCAACCAGCCTCCATTGAGATGTATGACAACTTTTCTTTGCAGATAAGCAAAAACAGTAATTGTAAGGGGCTACAACAAAGGATAAATGATATTTCCAAGTGTGGCTATTCCCAGAAAAATGTCAATTATCAGATCAAGGCCATTGCAGACATTATTTACTTAGCCAATGGCCAATATGTGCTTTGCTCTAAGCTTGAAGCAATTAAATATATGTAGACTTCAATCATCAGAACTCCATAAGTATATAGTTTTAACATCCAACAGAAAACAGAATGGCATTAACACATAATTTTGAGAAGTAAAGCATAAAAGAATATGCTCTTACAATTTAAGCAATTTAAATGCAGAAGAACTATAACAGTTATTAAAGAATGTAAAAAGATCATAACAAACAAGCAATGATAAATCTACCTGGCAATGCTGTGTGAATTTCAAACCAACTGATGAGTCAAACTTCAGCACAAGCACACTAGGGATCCTTGTGCAATGACGATGGATCTTATCAACATTTCTCCAACATAAGAGTCACGAGCTTTGTCTTAAATCGAGCCTTGTTAGTCAAAATACACAATCACTTATATGCAGCAACTTCCACTAAACAATAAAAATGCACAGCCTATATTAAGACCAACTGACCAAGAGAGCAGTAAACAAGCAACAGTGAAGGAATCATTTGGTATGTTTGCTCCAATAATGCACATGCAAACTTAGCCCGCTCAACTGGCATGCATTATATCAAAAACCTAGGAAGCAACGCTCCAATTCCTAACACAGACCCCAACGGGAAAGTTCTTCATTATCAAACTTCTGTCCCCTAATGATATCTGAAATCAAGAAACCTCTCTGAAAACCCAACCTTTTTAAGTCTCACCAATTATAAAAAGGCAATATGTTTTTTGTACACCAATGGTTCTCCTAGTGTTCTCACATTTAATTCAGAAGGATAAACCAATATTAACCTTTAGATGGAAAAAGGTCAGAACATAAACTCCCACCTTTATGATGCACGACCAACTTCGGGAGTAGCAGTGCACGTGCCATCAACATCCACATCTCCTCGAAAGAATCAACTGTTACTTATTCAGAGATACACTGACATACATGGGAGATGGACAAATGTTTCACAGAGACAGTTAAGCATTACATCCTGAATTCCCTGTTATATAGATCACCATTTGGGAAATGAAGTTTTTTGTCCTCATTGCTAGAATAGAAGTTGCTAAGCCCAAATCTTTCATTCCTCATGACTTCACTCATACCCATATCACTTCCAGTCCATAAATCATTAAAGCCATCCCACTGTTTATTCAACAATTGTGAATTTCTCAGTTGTTGAAGTGACATCTGCACTATTGGAGAAAGACTAGAGTGGTTTTCTGCTGAAAGTTGAGATGTGATATATGCATCACGTAATGGCAAAAATCTATCTCCCACACAATCTGGTATGCTCAAGTTCTGATAAGAAGAGAGAGACTGCTGCTTCAATAAATGAAGTCTCAGGTCATTATCTGAAGGGCTACTCTGCACAGGAAATGTAGATTTAAGGCCCAAACCTAAATTATCTATTCCAAGTGACATTCGTCCCTTGCCGACAGCCAAAATTGCTGGATCAACAAGTTCTACATCACCAGGATTTCCAGCTATATGTGACTGATAACGATTTCCAGCTGGACTACCAACCAGATGATTTTCTGCAAGAAAACAGAAACACATTAGGGAACTGAAGACCCTACAAGAAAACTAGTCAGATTTGATGCACAAACCTGACAACGCTGCCTCATGTGTTTCATAAAATCTATCTTGAGAAGAAAAACCTGGAGGAACTCTGTTTGGAGCTGAAAATCCAGGTGGTGCTGATATCTTAGACCTTGAAGTACCTTCCATTTGTGAGAGCAACAATTACAAAAATATGAATATCATCAGCAATATAGAACGCATACAAAGTACAAACACACAAATAATAATAATAATAACAATAATAAATAATAATATGACGGTATATACTTCTAAGTCAAGATTATATTGGCACTACATGCTCAATAAACATAATTGGACATTTGAAGTATTGTATCCATGTAATGTATCCATTGCTAACATTAATAATAAGTGACAAAACCTGTCACAAAAAAAAAAAGAAAATATATCAGCTATGGTAATTGGACAACACCATTCATGGGTCAGGCTCACTTGCCACAACGTGACAAGTTGGCTATAGGCAAGGTCTAAACTGAAAGCAGTATGAAGGTGACTGCATCATGACATAGTGCATATGCTGTGCTGCATATATACACAGGCATCTGCAGTTAGATTTCAAACTGCCTAAAAAATAAGTCCAAAACAAAATGAAATTATGCATAACAAATGAGTAAGAGAATATATTCCAATCAATACAACCATAATGATGGCATATCTCAGTACATTGAAACATAGCATAACAAGCTTAATTACTCATAATTGCATCATTTTCATGTTTCCTAAGATTAGCTAGTCAATCCTGATAAAACTAAAAATATTTACAATATAATATACCACAAAAACAAAATATAGCAATCAAACAGAACTCAAATGCTAAGCACAAACATGAAATTAGTTCAAACTTTTAAGAGCAGCAGATTGGGAACATAGTCCACATTAGAAATACAGAAAGGGAATTCCATAACAAACCAAAAGTTCCTTGATAAAAATAAAAGAGTAAAGGCTTCTGAGTAACCAATGCTGCAAACTTACCTCTTTCACAGGATAATAGCAAAGCAAATGAGGGGAAGCAGAAAATTTCACAATAAAGTTGCAGACACCCATGCAACACCACTGATTAGAGACCAGGAGGGCACAATCATGGTAGACTAGGGCTCAAACAGAAGAAACAAAGAAACATTATGGAACTCCTCCAATTGCACTTCTTCTAGAAGGTGAGATAATTGAGGATGACAAGGAGTGGGATTAAAGAGAGAAGAGTTGGCAAACCATGGCTCAAGCAGAAGAAACGGTGGTGTTGGAGAAATGATAAAAGGCTCTTGTAGTCTTGCATCATTTAGTACATAAAATCCTTTAACAGATTACACCAGCTTCGGTTTTAGCCTTGAGTCGGGTCCAAGTTTGTTCACATATACAACACATGCACCTTATGCAGTTGCTATGAATTGCAATTATGCAGCATAGACGCATAATGCTGTCACATAACAGGTATATGATGCAGTTAAGACACAGATCTAAATATGAGGCTGCTCTGCGTATGTGGCGACATATGTGGTTAAGCCACCGACCAGACCAAGATATGCGGCCACATTAATTGTTTTTGAAACCATGTCTAATGGACTCAGGCTCCGAAAATATTGAAACAATCTCAATAGCGAAACAAAAGCACCCATAAAGCAGCAGAGAAAAGGAAAAAAACAGCAACAACTTAAAGATATTAAAAGCAGCAACAGAGCAGCAATACTATTAGAAAGTTGACAATAAAAAAGCGAAGAAATTTGTTTTCTGACTAAAATATATTAATATTGAACAAGTACTTACTAGCAGCCTTATCTGGTGAGATGACAGGGTTGCTCATGATGTTAGTGTTGGGTGCCTCAAAAGTATTGAACAAAATTCCATTTCGAAGCCCACTTTCATATGAATCATGTGACGAGGAGCAAAACTTCTGTGCATAGACCTCACTTCTGATAGGTTGCACTATATTCCCTTGGCTTTCTTGCCTGGCAAATGAAAATCTAGATTGGTTGCTGTTGTTGGATTTCCATGAACTCAATAATTTAAAAGACCTTTCCTGTTTTTCAGTTTCACCAAGAAGACTAGCAAAACTGTTAATTGTGTTTGACGAGTCATCCCATGGGTCAACATCTAGTGACAGTATATCTGAAATGATGCTGCTCTCCCCCTTTAAATTTACAGTTGCATATTTGTTATTATAGGCTATATCATCAACTCTTCCTGAAGATTTCACTTTTTCTTCATTGCAGTTCATCTCAGGACACCTAAAACTCTCCCTGGGTGAACTGCTTTGATCATCGCAACCATTGGACAAGGCATATTCTCCTAAAGGAAACGAACACATCTCCAGATTTCTGTCAGCTCTTGGGGTTTGCTTATTTTGGGCATCCGTGTTTGAAGAAGTAGAACTTGAACAATTGCCACTATTGTGTGAATGATTTGCATAAGGTGAAGATGACGGGCGATCAACATTACCTAGAAATACTTTATCATCACAAGGAAGTATGACTCTGTCCTTACTATTAACTGCAGAAATCAGCTTTTCCTTCAGTGGCTCAGTACTCTGATCCTTTGACTCATTCCCACCATGTTTATCAAGCAACTGAGAGGCTTTACTCCAAGGAGCTGGATCTGAGACATTACACAAAGGTATTACAGGTGTAAGGCTATCAGAATCTGAAATAAGGTTCTGGTTCACATTTAATCGACCCAGCCTATCATGGCTATCTAGTCTAACTGAAGAGAAACTCGAGCATAAACTATGTGTTGCCTCATTGATAGTACTAGAACCTTGTGTAGCCCTATCAAAATCAGACCTGCCAAATTGTCTATCAAAACCTTTAGAACTTGTACTATTTGTTGGCTTTGAGTTGTCACCATTCACATGAATGGATGTTTCCTTGTCTTCAGGTGCACTGACTGGAAGGCAATGCACGAAATTCGATGATAACTGGGAAATATGAGTTACACCTGAGACATCTACAGTTGATACATCTGAGACAGATGCTTGGCACTTCTTTTCAATAACAGGTGTTAGATATTCTAGTTGTCTAAACCCATCATCAGAATGTGCCATTTGGTTTTCTTCACCAACCTTGGACGTCATGTTTAAGCCATCATCCCATGAAGAAAATCTGGAGGAACAATCACTAGATGTTACTACTCTTGGTGATGGACTCAAAGGTTCATCAGGCTGAGATGCATCACTAATTTGTGGAGAGTCTCTGCTTTCAGTCACTTTTGATGCCATATCTACGTCATCATGCCATGAACAATACTGCTTTGTGCTTTCCATTAACAGAGAAGGCAACTTAGTAATTGTCAAAATCTGGCCTTCAGGCACCTTTGATGTTGGAACTACTTCATTCCATGCAGAAGGATGATTTGTGCTTTCAGTCGATGTAGGAGGCAAACACGAATTACCAACCGTCTCTACCTTTTGTTTTGCATAGGGAACTTGAGAGCATGCTGCACTTGCAGTTGGAGGCCGGCAGTTTGAACTTCGGAGCCCCCTGCAAACAGTTGACATTTAGATAATGATTCCACCAGAAGAAAAAACAAGAACAATAAGAATCATACCATGAAGCACCAGCAGGAAGAACCGTGAGCTTCCCAGCACTGCTACTAGGAGGAGAACCTTTGACCTGGGTTGAAGCAATCTGCATTTATATACAATCAGTCAATGTAATGCATCCAAGCAGATAAAAAGAATGCATAAACAGCATCAATAAGGTTAACTCCACACTAAAGTAACAAGTCCCAACTCAAACCAAGTTCTAATAGTTAGGATTTACATTTGAAGGGCTCTTGATGTAATTTCTGGCTGAAGCAGTTATACTGTTTGAAGAATCATCAGCTGGAGGAGGCAAAACAATTCCTGAACGCCTTTGAGAACTATTTGAAGCAATTTGTGGAACCCTACTCCTATAAGGCCACAACAAGACAAATGTTAAGTAAAAGGGAGAGCAAACATTGTGTGAAATACTGATTAGCTTAGCTTCTGTGCAATAGGTCAAAACATAGTTTGACCTTGGGATGAAAGTTAAATATACAAAGAACTATCATTTACCTTGTATAAGCTGAAATAACCTCATCCTTTGTGAAACTATCGTCTTGGCTACCTATATCATGCAAATACAGACAATCTGGATTGCTGCAGATCTGAACAACCAAGTCAATTACTTGGAATGAAAGGAAAAAAGAGAAACAAATTTTACCAAATATAGAAACTACCAGCAGTATAATAATAGGCTACTCTCCGTACCATATTTCTCAACCAAGCATGGCAATATTTCGTTGTACCAAAACATGCCCTACAAAAGTAAACTACAATGTCATTAGAGAAATATCACAGGGAAATGAAAAGGTCAAGTAAATAACAATCTCTAAGTTACAGGCTTACTTCAAGGTTTTACCCTCCAGAATATAATTGTGTACTGCTTGGATACATCGAATGGCTTCTTCTTCTCTTGCATACATTACATACCTAGTCCAACAAGGTTCAATAGGTAATGTTAAACACTCACTCTGAACAAAAACATGAGTTCCGTACTGTCACGGACAAAACTGTAAATAGGATGTTTAATGTAATGCTCATGTATGTCAATGTCTTTTAATTTTGTTCATGCTTTGCATAGCATGTAAAGGGCTGGCAGTAGGCTTAGCAGCCTTATTTTCTTTAATTTTGATGGTCGTCCTAAGCTTGCAAACAAAGGTTATATCATGTGGACACTTGTGGCGATTTCAATCTGTAGTGGACCATTTTAGACCCTTTGTTGTGCGACCGTTTAGAGCTTATGAAGTATGTTTGTAATTTGCATTGGCTATGAAGTGTTTATTAAAATGATTACTTGTGGATCCCAAGTGAGACGCTTTCTCTAACCCGTTTTATCTTTTGTAAGTCCTAAGGGACCATAGGAGGTTTCGGGGAGGCTGACCTTTACGGACGGATACGCAAGGGTGCCACACAACTTAGGCAAAACTAACTAAGTGCGTGGCATATGGTATCAGAGTGGGACAAACACACATAAAAACACTTGGCATGCAAACGTAGGGGATCTAGCGAGGCTGCGTTGAGGGCAGCCAGCATGCGTAACCGTTTGGAGGAAACAGGCATGGAAATGTAGGGAAAAGGAGTCGCTCAGAGGAGCAGACATCTGAGATTGGCATTCAGAGGAATGGCTAACCCTTCGCACAAGAAGCACCACGAGGACAAGCAAGCTGGGAAGAATACGTAGTGCACAAAGGTTGGGATGATTGAGTTCAAGCTACGGCTCGACATTGGCAATTATACTTGATGATACTCAAGGCAAGCGAGGCGTTGGGTAAAGGATGAGACCATGCAAGGTGGAATGAGTTGTTCAGCAACCGAAAGAATTATGCAAAGCTCATAGAGGTGAAGGGAATTGCTAACTCGAAAAATTTGGTACTCATGAAAAGGATTGTATGTGGACGATGGAATGTTCATGGCCATCCTAAGACAATCGAAACTCGACGCCATGGAGTATTGAAACTCTCTTCGGCATGAGAAGGATGCATTCGTATGAGGTTGAAGTGTGCAGTGAGTTCAGCATGTTGCTAGGCCTTGAGGGGGTGCAGCAGGGGCTGTATTGGCAAGGAGTCTCAATCTAGCGAGTGCATTTACGGGTGCAGAACAATGCACAGTTTGTTCAACAAGGCGGAGTAGTCCAAGGGGATGATGATCTCCGAAACTTCCAAAGGGAAGGATGTGAAGAGAGAAATTGCTCCAACGAGACAGATACCTTGGAGGGATAAGTTTCGGTTCTCCAAAGGGAGAATTATGTGTAACGGACTGCACATGTTGAGAAGCATCTCAAGACAACAACCCCACAAAGCTCAACGGACCGAGCGAGTGATGAGGAGTTATCGCATGATCTCGCATGAGGTAATGCATTAATGGATGCATTGCAAGATTAAGTGGGGGAGCGACTCGAGGCAACACAAAATGAAGGCATACTTGGAGCCGATATAAAGATCAAACTCAATGGAGGGCCGACCCATGGAATGGTGGGCACAAGAGCCACTATCAACTCAATGCAAATCGAGGAGCGGAGCAACTTGAGTGTAACTTGGTGAATGACCCAAGCCGCTTGAAGAGAGTTAGCATAGAAGATAAAACATGGAGCAGAGAACAAGCCGAGTAAGTGAACGTTGCTACCAAGGAAGCTAAGGAGAACAAAATCAGTGCAAACCCTGCAACATAATGGCGGAGGCCATGCATAGGAGTCGCAATCTATCTTTCCATCAATCAACGAGAACTACTCGGAGAACATAGAGGTGTTAAAGCAGGGGGTCGAAAGGGGCGAGGAAGCGACGATGAGTTCAGAGGGACTTAGCTACCAAAAACCAAATATCGATTATAATGGAGTTGGACTCGGAGGAGTGTCACAGTGCCACAGAAGTAGATCTACTGATCATGAAGAAAGGGACGTGGATGCAAGACGATGGATAGTAGGGCCATGAGTATAACAGTGCCACGGTACCGCAGAGGTAGGAATTCTGTGAAGTCATCGATCCCTTGTTCTCATGGAGGGAGAGCGCTTGGTCGTGAAAGGAGCCAATGAGGTGTAGAATGCAGAGGCAAACTTCAAATATCGAGACAAGGCTAAAAGGCAGAGGCCAGGGAACTACGTAAGACCGGTGTCAACGAACTTCTCATTAAGATAGCCGAAAGCAAAGGACTTCGGGTCGATACAAGAGTACTCGACCAAGGAAACAAAGTAGACAGTACGTGGTGCTATACCTTTGCAACTCAGATGAGTAGACGACAAAAATTATGGAGAAGACAGTACAATTCTAGAGGTGACCAAAACTACTAGAGACTTGTTCCAAGTTAGGGTGAGAACTTCATACATTGCAAAAGTTCGATGGTATTGAGAAGGTGAATCATAGTAGCCAACTCAATGCAAGGAGTACAAACACTTCGAGTGCTTCAAAAGTGTGAGCAAAGAGCAAGCGACAGCTAGTAACCAGCTCGATGCATAGAGTACAACCCTCGAGGACACTAACGAAGTCAAATAACCTTTACCTTATGAACTTTTAAAAGAATGGGTGAAACCGAGTACCTCAATTCTCTTATCTATCCAGTAAAGGAGCTCTGCACAGGTTCAAAGACCCTTCGAAGAAACCGAATGAAAGACAATAGTTGTCAAATCCTCACCAATAGTGATCAGTACTACTGAGAGTATATTACCGTTTCATTTCCCAACAGAATGCCAATCGAAAGCAGAAGTGATGACCAAGTGAAAGAAGAATCGATGGGCAAATTTTATGGAGGAAGGACCCAAAAACTTTAAAGTTTGCGAGGTGATGCTAGTTAAAGCTCCAACAAGCATCCACCTAATTTAAGCGACATGAAACATTTGAGAGACTGACGCATACTAAAGATGATCTTTTTCTTCATCTAAGGGATTTGTAGGAAACAACAGGGATCAACACAACTCAGCGGACCCCACACCAGAGTCAAGAGTCATTGACGAATTGAAACAGCATGACGGATCAAAGTTCGACTGCTCAACAATAACAACGGAGTCCAGTTGGGAGCCAAGAGACGCATTGCAACTAGAGTAGAAGATTGAAGACTCAGCAAAGACGAAAAGATCAAGCATCTGCAAAAGCTTCGACGAGGACGTCAAAGGAATAAGTGGGGGAGAATGTCACGAACAAAACTGTAAATGGGGTATTTGATGCAATGCCCATGCAATGTCCTTGTCTTTCAGTTTTCTTCATGCTTTGTATAAGTAGACTTAGCAACCCCATTTTCTTTAGTTTGGTGGTCGTCCTAGGCTTGCAAACAAATGTTGTGTCATGTGGGCACTTGTAGGGATTTCGATCTGTAGTGGACCATTTCAGACCATTTGTTGTGTGACCGTTCAGAGCTTGTGAGGACTGTTTGTAATTTGCATTGGCTATGAAGTGTTTACCGAAATGATTGCTTGTGGTTCCTGAGTGAGACGTTTTATCTAACTCATTTTCTCTTTTGTAGGTCCTGAGGGACCATAGGAGGTTTCAGGAAGGCTGACCTTTGCAGACGGACATGCAAGAGTGCTGCACAACTTAGGCAAAACCAACTAAGTGCGTGACAGTATGTTGGTAAACTAAATATGCATTCAGTTTTTTTTATAACACTTCTTAATCAGATCACAAAATGCTATAGGCAAACTAAAGTGACGGCATCAGGTAACCATGTAGAACTTGCAGTTTTATGGTATTTTCAAGGACAACATGTAGGAGTCATTTGCAGAAACTTGAAAGGGTTGGACACTCCACATATACTATCATTTATTGCCACAGTTTCTCTATTGCCTTTGGCTCCTAGGACAGTAAGTCATACACATGCACTTTTAAGTCTTAACATACCTAATCTAATAAGAAAGATAAGAGAAAAGACATAATTTGTTCAATGTCTGACACAAGTTTAGGCCCACTGAACTTAACAAACCACTATCACCAAAATCCTGTAACAGTCCACCAAAAAAGTAAACATGGACTGAAGCTGAAAAAGAAAACCTTAAGTAAATTTAAAAAACAGATAGGTAGGTAGTTAAGTTAACAATATAAAGCATCATAAAAGAACAATACAATACAAAACTAAAGAAATTAAACAACATCTACCACCAACACATAAACCAATATAATCCCCAAACTTAACATGTATTAAATATTAAAGACGCTTAGGTGACTGTCTACATGTGAAGGCATCTAGAACACTACAAATCACTTAAAAATAGTCACCAATAGATGCATAAGTGATTATGCTTATTTGATAGCAGATCTCCACTGAGAAAGACAGGAATACATTTCACAATAAACGAGAATTCATAACCCAGTTATGCGCGAGACATGTAATTAACTAAAAATATGCAACATAAGTTGAAGAAATAATATTATCCAATTAGTCAATTCAATAAACAAGACATCTAGAAACTAGAGCCTGATGAGAAAATCACCATGACATAACCGCAGCTTGTAAAGCTTAGAACCATTAGCTTCCTGAGTTTAATGAGAAATCCAAGTGACAAGAAACAAAAATTCCCTTGTACTTAACAACTAGAGAATAATACCAATATCAAGTTAAATAAGACTTACACACTAAAAGTGCCGTTACTTGATGCTTGATGGGAAGGGGCACTTGCAGAACGAGAAATTGATACCTTTATGATTTTCCCATACTGACCAAAGTATTCCTTACGTTCAAGAATCTGCAAAACCTAAAAAAAGTTATCAAAAACACCCCTTTATGTTTATTAAAGAACAAATCCTGACAGCACAAGAGACAGAGCACGCACACTTCTGTCACATAAATTAGCAGGTAGGCCAATTATGTACACAAGGTTCCGTTGGACCACTCTAACACCGCTAAGATGCTTCTTAGCTTCTAAAGATGTTTTCAGCTTTGACTTTTGAGATTTCTGTTTTTTCTCAGCGTTTATCTCGGCAACTAACCTATCCAAAAGCAAGAAAATACAAATACTCGTATTATATTAAGAAACTACAGAAATGATATACTTTCCTTTTTTCTTTAGAAAAACCAATTAGATGAATGACCTTTTACAGTTGGCAGCCATCCTGACAATTCTTTCCTTGTCATATGGTGTGCGGCAGGCTGGACACCGCCCTTCTGTCTCTTCTTTCTCAGCCATGTCATTTATTTGATGCCAGCACCAAACACAAATCTGGGGACAAGATAAAGGTCACAATGACTTCCAAACGTGAAATTCAGTCTCTAAGAATTCATAGAAAGGCAATCAAATGCCTCAATTTCAAAACTTAATTTGGATATGTACATCTTCACGTGACATAGTAGCAAATTCAATCGCATAAATTCATCAAAAGGCAAACATGTGCCTGAATATCAAAACCCAATTTCCTCTCGTTTCTTGGTCAGCAGGCATGCGTACCTCATACCCACATTTGCAAGGCTTCAGCTGCTGATCAGTCAGGTCCATCTCCTCCGCGCACAGAGGACAGGTCCTATCTCCGTCGTCACTCATGGTCGTCCTTCAAACAAGCAAAGGTATTCAAGTACCAACCTCGAAGCATCAATATAACAAAATAAAACATCCAAAAAAATCACTTCCAACACTTGCAAAATGTCACATGGGGTCAAATAATTAACTTTGCAAAGCCTCCGAAAGTTCTCAATATCATTATACCAAAAAAGAAACCCTACAAAACCCCATTTTTTCCTCCACCGATCTCTCAGATCTTCTCTTTCATAAACAATAAAACCCACAAAAATAAAAGAACAATCCACAATTCAATTAACCCCATTCAAGCGAAATCAAAGATCTGACTGAATTTTCCCATCACATGGAATCCAATAACGATAAACCACATAATCTACCCTAGAAGCTCAAAAATCCACCACCCAGATCGAACAAAACACCCAGAACCAGCTAGAAAAGCGAAGAAACTTCACATGCGACCAATCTGCGCCATCGTTTCCATAAGAACCATAATAGATCAGCAAAGAGGAGATAATTTGACGAGGAAATACAGCAGATGGATGGATCGACAATAGACCACTTACATTGGGGGAGGCGAGGTTGGGAGGATCGGAAGAGGATCGAAGGCCAAGCCCGAGGTGTGGAGGACGCAGGGGTGGTCGAGAACGAGCGAAACCCTTCTCTCTCTCGCGGATGGATTGGTTTGTCCGCAGGACGCTTTCGATCTTATTGCGACGACTCGGTTTGGGTATTTAACTAATGGCAACCACGACGCAAATGTCACAACTGCCCTCAATATTTCCCTATATTAACAAACCGACTCCTCATATTCCATTATGCCTATTTTAACCTCCTCGGCCCCTTACATTATTTTGACGCTGCCCAACTCCAGTACCAGTCTTGTGATTGGAAGCGTCGATGTTTCATTATGGGACCCAGCGGAAAACGTTGCTGACTCCACTGGCACGGTAGGTAGCCGGAGAGTTCATAAAACACTCCCATACTTCCTCTTCGCGAACGCGGCTCATGTACCTCACCTGTGATCTGGAGACTTGATGTTTCACAGTGGGACCCGGAGATAAACCTTGCGGCTTCCACTGACAGACAAGGTGGTTGAGCGGGTACCATTTTTGGTAGGAGTGATGGTGGGTTGGTTGGCATGGTAACCGTAAGCTTTAGCACCATAACTATTCATATAAAATATACCATATAGAACAAGGTTTTACTATTTTTCACACTAAAATATCATCTCAATTTGGGTGTCTAGAAACAAAACAAAAAAAAAAATCATCTTTTGTACCACTAATTGATTTATTCCTTTGTTTTTTTTTTTTCATCCAACCCAGTAATTAGAGTAGAATTTTCATAAACTTTATTTGTTATAAGTTATCATCACATAATTAACACATTTGTGTTATGTGAATAGCACATCATCTCAAATTTATGTGTCTAAAAAGAAATTATTATTTTATACCACTAATTGATTTATTTATTGGTTATTTTTATTCTAGTAAATAATTGGAGTAGAATTTGACGGTCTTCGATCATATGGAATCTGATTTTTATGACAAATATAATTTTGTCTCTAGAAATATGAACTCCTATATATTAATAGTGTTATTTTTATGGTTTGTATAAGAAAGCGTGGCTTTTGAACAATGCAACATCTGCACCGTTTGATTTGATCATATCACTTGATTATTTCTTTCTTTTACCAAATAACGAGTAATAAAGATAGGATATATTGAATAAAAAAATTAATTTTTAATAAATAGATCCGATACGTCATCATGACGAGACCGACGTTGAGGGCACGAGTTGTCGCCGGACTCAACCGGAGCCCAACCCAAATGGCGAAGCCCAATTGCATATGACGGCCGTCGCCGGAGCTCCATAAAGAGGGCCGAAGCCCACATTCTTAAACGCCCTGCAATAAGTTCGTTTCTTCCTCTCGCGTCTTCGCCTTCCTTCGCATGCTAAAAGAGGGAAGGAGGAGGCAACGAAAAAGGGTAGGGAGGGAGGGCGAAGGGGCGACGAGATGGACGACTACGCGAGGGAGATGATGGATCTCAAGACCCTCGTCACTCGCACCCTCGAGAAGAAAGGCGTCCTCGCCAAGATCAGGGTCAAATCTCTGCCCCCTCTCTCCCTCTCTCACACTTTCCCCGCGATCATGATCGATCCCCTGGATGGAAGGGGGTTGGTGCTCGTTGTTCTCCCGTGAGAATTAGGGCTTCGTTGTGTCTTTGATTCCCCTAGATCTTGTTTGTGAAATGGTGAGGTGGATCTCTTGAATGCAGTGTTGCTGTGGGGTTTCGTGGAGTCATCCGTTAATCTAACTTGTGTTAATTTACATGGGAATCCTTTGAGGGATGAGATCGGAGTAGAAAAGATCTTCCAGCGGTTGTGAGAAGCTCTGGTTGCAGATCTGCATCAGATCTTTGGGTTCTCGGGACGTGGTATGGATAGAAAACTAGAACGAGAGGGCACCTCTTATGTTCTCGAGCTGGTAATCTGATACCTAAGGCTTGCATTAGAACTCCTTTCTTGGGAATCTGCTGCTCCAGAATATTATGCAATAAACTTTTGGAATATTTTAGGTGTTGTTGAGGTTTTTGGAAGCCGAAGATTAGGATATGCCCTTGATGGAGCGTCTGGGTTTTGCCTCATTTCATTGTGTTGTCTACTTTATTTCAGCCTCAATGACCATATTAATGGTGGCAAGTTTGAAGAAAGTTCAAGTCGAATACTGTTGAAAGTACCATCTGTTAATGCCACATCTCTAGTACGGCATTATTAGTCAGTTGTTTCAGGAATTCTGTTTTGTGTTTCCATTTTCAACTGTCTGACATTAGTGTTAGTCTTTACCACCTCTAGTTGATTAGCTTAAATATTAAGATAGCCAAGGTTTCTGTGGTTTACATTTGAATTTAATTTTAGGCTGAGCTCAGAGCAAGTGTATTTGAGGCAATAGAAGAAGAGGATCAAGTTCTTGAAAATGATGACAATGTTCCTCCTGCATTACTAGGGAGCTGCAATGACCGAGCGAAGCAACTGCATACCTCTCCTTCAGGTTTTGAATTTTCTACTAAGTGAACCACTCTTTGGCAACTAGTTATGTCTCTTGTCATGCCTTGAATTTTTTTGTCATGAAAACATGTTCTTTTACGGAATCATGTGGGTAAAGGACTGCGTTCCGTGTTATTTTTCTGTCATGCAATTACTAGGAAACATCAGTCCTAAGTGTGGATAAGTATTTGATTCATGGATCTGTTCTGCAAATAATATTTCTATGTGTTGAGAATAAGAACAGAAAGCCTTTGTTTAGTAGCATATTAACTAATTGAAGTAATTAATATTTTCTGGATAAGAAAGACAGATAGGAGGAATTTGGAGTTGGTAAGTGCTCCCACAAGTAAGGGCAGTTGATTCCTCATTATTGGTCATGGAGTGAATTATTTTGGTGTATATTGCTTCTAGGCATCGGCGAATGGTTATAATTTTCTCTTTTTGATTACTAATATATGATTTTCTCGTCTACTCTAGTTATTAAGTAATGTTAGATATACGTTTTTATGTAAGGCTTGACATACTTGATTGGTGATTTGATGTATTGCATTGTTTTCTATTTGAAATTAGTTTTGTCTGGTCGAGATATGAATTATATAATTTTGATTTACACAGATTTATTGGTAGGCCATTAGGTACTTTACTGATCTCATCTAGATTGCAAGTACTACTCTTTAAGCTTGAGATTAATTTATGGAGATTTCATTAATTATTAAACAGTGATTTAAAAAGCGCTAGGCGCCAAAAGGCGCCAAGGTGCAAAAACGCTTGACGCGCTAGGCGCTCGCCCGAGCGAAACGAGGCGCTAAAATATAAAAATATATAATATAATTAATAAATATAATTATTTAAAATTTTAAATAAAAATATGTTATTAAATTAAGAAATCTAAGATACAAAATCACAATGTCACATTAACAAAAAGTTTCAAAATTCAAAACAATAAAATTTTACATCAAAATAAAAATTAACAACATTAAAATCAAAATAATATATTATTAATCTATTAACAGTATTGAAAATTAATCATTTCAAAATTTAAATAAACTTAATATTAAGAGTATACTGTATACTGAGCCTGACGGAGAAATGAGGAAGCAGCGGCGAGCGGCAGCGGGAAAGGGAAAGGTCGCGGGAGGCGCGAGCAGCGGGAGGGCTCGCGGGAGGCGCGAGCAGCGGGAAGGCTCGCGAGAGGGCTCGCGGGAGGCGCGAGCAGCGGGAGGGCTCGCAGGAGTCGCGAGCAGCGGGAAGGCTCGCGGGAGGGCTCACGGGAGGCGCGAGCAGCTAGAGGGCTCGCGGGAGGCGCGAGCAGCTAGAGGGCTCGCGGGAGTCGCGAGCAGCGGGAAGGCTCTCGGGAGGGCTCGCGGGAGGCGCGAGCAGCTGGAGGGCTCGCGGGAGGCGTGAGCAGCGACAACGACAAGCAGCAGCAGCGGGAGCAGGAGCGACGAGCAGCGAGATCGGGAGCAGCAGCGGCAGCGGGTTAGGGTTGGGTAAGGGTTATATCAGTTTAGTTGGTTCGATTGAATCAACTAACAATCGAACCAGGACCGAACCAGACCTAAAATCCTAGTTCGGTCACTTGGTTTACCCAGGCGCTCGCCCGAAGCGCCCAGCGCCCAGGCGGCGCCTGTTTGAAGCGCGTCGCCTGGGACATTAGCGAGGCGCTCGGGCCTCGCCTCGCCTCGCCCGAGCGCCTCTTTCAATCACTGTTATTAAACCTAGTTAGTCATACAAGGATTTTTGGTTGAATAGTTTGATAAGTGCCAGTCATTTGTTTAGCCAAAATTAACTAAGCTAAGTGCACATACTCTTTGTTTGTACGATTGTGAGTCTTGCTAAAAAGTAACAGGAAATTTAAACTAGCAACAAACTCTCTTTATATAGGCTTTCCTCAGACATCATGCAACACGAGGACCTTTTTCTTTGGAAGTTGCCACATTCATCTAATAGGTCTTGTTGTATACAATTCTGTAATCCACTGTTAGCATCATGTTGAAGAAATTAAACCCATAATGGTGTGGTGAGATGGATGATATTGTGAAAGTTGTGTTGCTTGCAGGAAGGTTATTAACAGCACTAATTTGCGAATATTTGGACTGGGCCCAGTTAGGCCACACACTCAAAGTTTATCTGCCCGAGTGTAATTTGGTAATCATGTAAACTTCCCTTTGGTTTGTTGTTGTCTTAAGAAGTTCCACATGTCGATATCATGGATTTACTGTTTTTCTTCTTGTTCATGGTATTCTTGCTCTTCAGCAAAAGGACTTCTGGAAAGAAGAATTGAAAGATTTTAGTAACAAAAATCAGTATGATTCGAACAAGAATGGTGATAGTGGTCCACTGCTCTTAGAAGTTCTTGAAGGATACTTAAAATATGAGGTTTGGTGCCCTTATGTGATTTTTATTCTTTTTCATGATCTTTTTGAGTTACACTGTCGTTGGAATTACATTGATTTCCTGAAGTAAAAATGTATTTATACTAGTCCTAACCAACTCTTTTCTTTTGCTTTTATAATTAAAAAGAATCTTGATAACAATTATTGTATGAAATATCTTACAAATTATGATATACTTTATGCCATATTTTTTCCATCATTATAAGATAAATTGATCATTCCCTCCTGAGCTGTTTTGGTTGCAATTGGCCGTCATTTGTCAAGTGTTATTTTCAGCTTCAAGTGTTGTGGAAATGGCATTTAAGATGATGTATTCATGATCCAGCCATCCAGAAGATATACCCAACCTTGTAAAGCTCTGATATTAAACACTTGACATTTTCTATGTTATGTACATCTAAGCCACCTGTATTAGTAGATGCATAAAGCAGTTTGAACTTTGAAGTTCCCAATTCTGTAGAAAAATGTTTTAAGATTCATTCAAGCATATCATGAAGGTGCATTGCGAAACAAGTTCCAAGACTACCTTTACCTTTGCTTTGTCACAAAAGCCTTCTGCGCGGAAATCACCTTGGATAACAGTATAACAAAAAGCGAGATAGATACTCCAATTGGTACATAATGGGAAGAGCACTAAACAACTAATTGGTGTCTGTATCATCGGATAGATTATCACATTCAGCTATTTAGATGGACTGAATCACCCTGATAAAGTTAGCCCATTTCATTTGACGAGTAGTATAAGCTTTTCCTGTAAAACAATGGAAATAGTATTTGTACTCCAAATGTTGAAATGCAAAAGCAGAAAGACTTGTTCTTAAACAAATGTATAACATCTTTATATTTTGCACTGATAGCTGGAGATGAATATTTTGGTTTCTAATACTTATGTTTTATCATCAAGAAGCATTAACTCTTTGAGACATAAAATGGTCCCAGGACGAAAGATTTATATAATTTTATGCTAGCTCAGCTTGGATTTTCTTTTATTTCTTTTTGTGATTTTTTGGTGTTTTATTCTGATCTCTCAAAATTATTTAAACCTTCATAATGTTGGGTGCATGTGAAAACTGGAACCTCTTAAATTTTAATACCTTTAATTGTTTCTCTACTCGAAGCTAGATTTCCTAAATGATTCTACGTTGAATCCTTATTAAAGAAAATTTGCCTCGTTCACTTCCATCTTGCTGATAGCTGCAGGGAGTTGATAACCTGCATCTCTAGACTCTTCCAGGAAAACAATGTGTGATTTTGACTTTATGCTAGGCTGCAAGTTGAAAGAGCAAAAGGGCAAACACAATACATGAGGCTCTGCCAATCCTAGTGAAGGCCAACATAGGCAGCTTTATCCCTACAATTAGAGAGGTTATTCTTGTGACTGAAACCTTGGTCACATAGGTCGCAAAGGGAAAATCCTTCGTATTCTAAAATTTTAAGACCTTGAATTAGACTAAAGCCACATTCTGGTAACATCTGTTGTATCTCTTGATGCACCCTACTACACTATTATGGTCATTGCATGCCCTCCATGTCCTCATCTTGAATGTCTCAATCTTGGGATGTTAAAATTTGGAATAGATATGGCAGTATGAGTGGTCTACAGTGGAATGCAATTGATATTAGCATTACTCTGGTGTGGTCTACAGTGGAATTAATAAGTGTGTTATCTAGGGATTCTTATGATGATTATTGCTTCTGTTTCATATTGTTGTGCAGAATTTGACCCAAAATAGGATGGCCGGAGGGAGTTTAATCAATTCAGAGACAGAGTCAATATCTAGCGGGGAGGCCAGGAATGTCCGAAGGCCATTTTCATCATCATCATCATCTGCTGCACACGGAGGCTTACCTTCTTTGGACAGGTAAGTTTAACTTTTAGTTAGCTTCTGTTTTGGGACCTTTCTGATGGGATTTTTTTATGGTTGATGCTAGGCCGGTCCCTCTTACACAGTCATCAGGTAACTAAAAGGTTTTTGTATATTTGTGCTCTCGTTTTGCTGCTTACCTTACCCTGTCTTTCGTTTTATGGTTCCAGATCGAAAGTCAAGTTCCTCAGTTCCTACGAATAGGAAGGACGATTACATGTGGAGATATGACGCTGAGATCTCAGAAGATGTAATGCGAGCTGCAAATGCTTTAGAGAACATTCAGCTCGACAGAAAAGCACGGAATTTGACAACATCTTGGAGGTTAGTGTCCTGTGACATTTTCTGCCATATTACATGTTTGTCCTTGCACCTTGAAGTTCATGAATATAGCTTTGAACATTAGTGATTGTCTCACCACATGAAGTTTTCTTGTCACTTTAGTGGATCACGATGCAACTGCCTGTTAGCAATAACTTTATAATTGCCTTCTTTGTTTGTGCATTCTGAGGCAGAGCTGTCTTTGCAAAGGAATATTCCTATGTATTATTGTGACTGCTCTTTTAAAATTAATTAAACTGAACCTAGTTGGTCTGACTATAAAAAAGCCAGCCTAATGGTTTCATTTTACATTTTTGAAGCTGTTCATGTATTATTGTGACTGCTCTTTTAAAATTAATTAAACTGAACCTAGTTGGTCTGACTATAAAAAAGCCAGCCTAATGGTTTCATTTTACATTTTTGAAGCTGTTCATGTGCAAATCATCTCACACAAATCTCTCTGCAGTATTTTCTTGGGATCGTTGATTTTGGCAAGTACTAACTCATTTGGAATTGACATGCTTTGCCCTCATTGTTGATGCAGGCATGCGAACAATGGCATTATGGAAGACGATGGCACGGTGGATCGTCGTTAGCATGACTTACAGCTTCTGTTACGTTTCTAGCTTGTTTCGGTTTTGTGCGTGCAACGTCAAGACTAAGAAGCTGTTCCAGTTGCTGATCTCCCCCTTCTTCCCCGTTGGAGCTTTCTTTTAATGCATCGGGGTTCACACGATTGTCTCTGATGTTGTTTTCAGCACCTGTAGCTGATTCATGTATCCCCCTTTGTGATGCCTATCATTTAGGACCTGCTGAGGCTTTTGCTTTTCCAAATCACAGTAATATCATCATCTCAACAAATGCCCAGTAAGTGCTTAGCTTGTTGCTGATCTTCTAATAAACTCAATTGTTCCTGGGGCATTCTTTTGTCACATTGGTAGTTTGATTGAATGTGGCTCTTCTTGATGTGTATTTTGAACGTCCAACGATGCACATACTTCTTGTGCTTCTACGATGATAAAAAGTTTTGTATCCTGTGATTGATGGTGATACCTTATGGTCGATTTTGATCATTTATCAATCCTAAGCATTGTTCTGCGAGCTAATTAAATTGGTTGACTCACTGTCAGACAGAGCACGAGCCATGTCCATTTTATCTCCGTGATCAAAGCAGTCATAGTCATGCTTGGCGGCCAGGACACTTCAAGGCACACAGTTGTCCCTGGCTATGTAGGATCAGAGGAAAGGAAAAGTGATGCAATGGATTCTCGGGGAAAGGAGGTATTAGAAAATATTCTCACGAGACACTACGCGTCGGTTTCCTAAAATTTCTAGTAAGAACTTATTTGTTTTTTTTGGTGAGATTTAAACTTCAAAATTTACAATTCCAAATGGTAAAAAAAAAAAAAAGTATATCCTGGCAGTGGGTGCTCAATAATGGGTAGAACTTTTGAAACCTTGGCATTTCGTATCGGAGGTGTCGAATGGTTCAAACCTGAAGTGTCAACAAGGCCTGCAGGGATGGGACACGATCCTTCGAGGCGCCGCTTCACATGTCAACATACTAACACCAGAACGCATTGCAGTATCGGAATTCCCAATTCAATATCCTCCAGGGAGATTCCTGTAGCAAGTCAAGGGAGCATCGCATCATAGTTAAACATTGTTCTGTTTAAAAAGTTAAAAGAGGCTACAAACCAGTAATAATTAACTCTGTCGAACTTCGTACTAGTTTCGGCCTTCGCTGGGCTAGTTTGGCTCACATAACTTGGAGCAGAGATGCAATGTTAATCTTTTTTTTCTCTCTTTTTATCTCCTTTGCTCACAATTTATTGTTCATGATCAATCAATGGATGGGATAATATATACTATTTCTTCAGTAAATTACAACAAGAATTACATAACCTACAAGTCTAAGAAAGCACACAAATCCCTCTCTCTCTCTCTCTCTCTCTCTCTCTCTCCTTCTTGGCCGGCACAACAGGTTAGGGCAAATGATTGAAATTAAATCATAACTAATTGATAATTATGATAAATATAGAAAAGGAATTATGTGACTGCAACTTAAACAGGTGGTGAAATCACCGTCTCCCAAGTTTCACTTCTCTGGCTCTTGATGCCCATTCATATCTCTCTTCGGAGTTTGCACATTCTGTTCCCCGTCATTGTTGAGCTTTGCATCAGTGGAGTCCTCAGGATTATTCTGTTTGCCCTGGAAACATATGGATCATTCTCGATCTATCATAAACAAAGTATCTGAAGGCAAATGTATCAAGTGAAATTGAAACTTTCAGAGATGTGAAACATTACAGGATTTACCTTGTTCTTGTCGCGCCAACCAAGTACAAATGGCCTAGCAAGCAAGCTTATTTTTCTAGGAGGGATATCCTGAGATGAGTCTTGACTTGTTCGAACAGGTGAATTATCCGTAGTTGGCGTCCTGACAAGAAGAACATCACAAAGACAACTGTCCATGAACAGTGTGTTTACATCAAATAGTTAATTGAGCCGAGAAAGCAGTGTGAATGATCTAAACGTATCATCAAGGATTGGCACGACACTGTATGTATGCCCTCATGCTGTAAAATGATAATAAAAATTAAAAAAGAACAGGACCACACAAAGATCCAAAGATCATGATAATTTCAAGTATCATAGACTAGCTTTACTGACAAACAAGGGTAATAACAAGTCAACAGAAAGAGACGCTCATCTAGAAAGTATTGGGAGTAAAAGCAGAGTTGGCTACCAGTGGTTCAACACACATACCTTGGAGAGCTTAATGCTTTAAGCTGGCTGGACTGGTATTGCAATGTAGCCTCTAGCATCGTCTCTGCCATTACTGCCCTGTCCTCCATTTGTGCAAGTAATGACATGGCTTCTTCATATTTTTCCTGCATATATCTCGATGAATGGGTAAAAAAGACCAGAAAGTCGAGATAGAATAGAATAGTCAGATTTAGATGACAATTCTGACATAAAAGAGAACTAAACGTAAATTAGAAGAACCAAAATTTTCATGCAATAAAGGTTTAGGATGGCAGCAACAATTGCCAAAGAATTTACAAATGCAGGAATTAGAAGTCAGAACTTGGTTGTAGTACGAAAGGTATGTTGGTACCAAAAAGTTAGAAGTTCGAACTTAGGTGTAGTAGAAAAGAGTAGATTATGTATACTTTGTCAGCTAACTGTTAAAAGATTGACAACAAAAATTAAGGAGTTAGTCTTGCGGTTGCTTTGCTTACTCTTCAGGCAACTAGTAGAAGGAAGCTCAATATTCCCATAGGGCTCAGATTTCTAGCTAGATAAAACAATTATTCAAGTTTTAACTACACTTTGGCTTTCAGTTCCAGCCTTGTTTGTAGTATTATCCGTATTGCACATCTCAAAGGACTATCACATTTTGTTTCACAGATTCTTGAAGTTCAAACCAATGTGGCAGGAATGCTAAGAACAAAGATGTAAATGCTATGCAAAAACTGACGATAATATGACAGGTCAGGCCACCTCTATAACCCAGACCAGCACATGCCAGATATACCTTAGCATGAAGTTTTTCTTTTTCTTTACAACCTTAGAAAGCAAGCTGAAAGATGCACAAAGCACTGTGAATATCATTGCATATTCAATCAGAACCAAGCTATGGCAAAGAATTACCAAATGGCCATAACTAACATACATCAGTTTTACATCCTTTAAGATGCCCAACTTCCACAGAAACCACCAACTAAGAAACTGTCCTAATACAAGTTTCAATCTTGATATTTGCATATATTTTATATCCTATTTCCAAGCAAAACTGGCACTTCTTGGCATACATCATGGATTTTTTATTCTGAAAACAACACCATAACTGCCCTTTTATGGTCACCGTATCTATTTCCACCTAGAAATTAAGTAGAGATAGTAGTATTTGGATCAAAATGCATAAACACCATAGATGAGAAAGAACCTGGAGGGCATTGACAGCTTGACGCTGATTAGCAGCCTCTTGCTCAGCAAAGAGGCGAGCATCTTCTGTGACCTTCTGTTCTTGTTCAACCCGCATCAATACCTTCATAAGTAAAAAACCATTAGTTTATAAAACCAAAAATACAGAAAGCACGAAAGGAGAATCATAGATCAATACACAGGTAGAAATGGAGTCTGACACACCTCAAGCATGGCACGCTCTTGTTCCTGCTTGTCTGCTAGAGCCTGTCGCAACTCAGTTAATTCTTGCTCCAACTGCTCAACCTGATAACAGTAGCAATTCAATTTATCAGGTTTTGATATAAAACGAAAATGACACAATTGTAAGTTATGCCAGATTCAATAGTCTGCTTGGCTTTGTGATTGCACCTTTATAAGATATCTGATATAGTACAGTTCTTTACCATGTAAAAGCAATTAAAGAAGGTTTTATGGCCTATTAATTGGTCAATTTGAAATCTGATCTTTTATTCCTGAAAAAGAATACCTGGGGATTATCTATTATAACCCTCCTATGCACTACAACCCATAATCAACAATTGTTCCTGTCCAATCTTCTGAATGTAGAAAACTTATGTCTACATAGACCCTAAGAGTTTATGGTACAATTATTCAAGTATATGATGCATTACACATACCAAGAAGATACTAATACTTTAGTTAGTCAAAGATCTGTAGAAACATGACATGATTTACTCTTGTTGGAACTAGTCAAACTGAAATATGATATCACAGAACTTCAAAACATCACAAGCATGTGATGTATATTATTGTGCCTCCGAAGAGGCAAAGGAGTCTCTGCCGTTAACAGCAGAGCATATGGATCTTAAATGGGGGCAATAGGTGAGCACTGTAGCTGATGTTCTGCATAGCAATTTGTTTGGTGTTAAGAAGGTCCACTTGGGCATCAACAGTTTAAACATCAAAAGACCAAGAATGTTGAGATAATTAATGTCTGAACTCTGAACTAATATGTTTAAGTTGAATAGCCAGCACATGTAACCATTATTTCATACTTTAAGATTATCTGCCCAACCCTTTTGCCAGAGGTTGAAGGGGAATCGTTTCATTTGTAGCAAAGATAAAATGTATGTAATGCAAGAAATTGGACCGAAATGTGGGAAGAAAAAAACTGTTTTAGGATACCAGCTATCTTGGCTTGGGACAGCCTCTTTTCCATGGCACACACACAATTTAAACCGCAACAGGCCACCGAGTGAACCAAAAAGGGATCTTTAAGGTGACTTCCACCTTCTAAGTTAATCCTTCCCAAATGAAGATGACCAGGCTCAGAGCCAAGAAATTATTTACATGTTTAATTAATTTGGTCATTATCAGAAACATGCTTCTTTCTGAGCAAACTCTTAATAATGGTTAGTGTTGATCAGCTACGTTGGTCTAGATATGTCTAATGGAACTTAACTCTCCAGAGAGGACGAACAAAACCAGCCAACAGCAGCAAAAGGGCAAAACTTAGTCATTGCTTTACTGATCTCTAATTCAGCACAATCCTCCATCAGCAGTACCCAAACGAGAAATAGAGAAGATCTATAGAACTGACCCCAGATACTTGGAGCTTCTTGTTGTAGGCATATCAACTCTTTTCTCAGAGAAGACAATCTAAATATAGTGATGCATAAATTATATATCATTATTGTATGAATAGACACAATAACTCAACTTGTGTTATTTCCTCCAAAATATTTATAACTCATAATATATCCAATGCAGTTATAACCACAGAGAATGTTCCAAATCATGGTTATGAATCTTGCAGTGTACTGGGCATACCGTGAACTATGGTATACTGATATATTATAATGCAAACATATTTCAATATTAGAATAAAACTTTAATGTTTTTGGGCATACCAACAAGTATGTACCAGCCTCAGTGTTTTTAAAAGCGTTAGGCACCAAGGTTCCAAAACGCTCGAGGCGCTAGGTGCTCGCTTAGGTGCCCACCCGACCAAACGATGTGCTCTAGAATATTAAAATATACAAAAATATATAATATAATTTTAAATTTTATAAAAATATATAATATAAAATATGGTAACAATAGTTGACAATAGTTTTAATATCAATTCTAAGGATTAACAATCCATTGTTAATAGTGGTTATAACAGTGCACAATAGGGGGGGGGAGAAGAGGAGTCACCGATGGTGAAAGATAGGGAAGGAGAGGGCAAAGGTGATGGAGGAACCTTCAGACGGTGGCAGCGACGGCAACGGAGGAGGAAGCTACAGATGATGACAATAGCAACGGAGAAAGCTGCAACCTATCCCTCAACAGAAGAGGGAGTTGCACACGAAAAAAGCAACGATGAAGGATGAAGATTTAGACCTTTACATTGGCGAAGGACTTATCAACAGTGGAAGTGGAAGATTGGACCTTTCCGTCAGTTGCAGAGCACGTAGCGGCAAATCCTAAGGTTGGACTTAGTTGGTTCGATTGAACCAACTAAGTCACTATTGAATCGAACCATAGTCCAAAATAGTCAACTTGTTGGATTCAATAGGGTGCTCACCCGAGGCGCCTGGCGCCTAGGCTCAGTCGAGCGCCTAAGCAGCGCTTCAGTGAAGTGTGTCACCCAGACCCTGTGCGAGGCGCTCGGGCCTCGCCTTGCCTGAGTACCAAGGTGCCTTTTAAAAACATTGACCAGCCTAACATAGTTCCTAAATCAATAGCAAACAGAGCTATTAAACCTTATTAAAAAATAACATAATATTTCATATCTAGGCTTTTAAATGCCATGGTTCATGTTCAAGGGAGCCAATCTTCAATTTAGAGCCTCCATGATTGATTTTGAGGAGATAGGGTTGGAGTCACAATCCTATAGATAGGTAGCTCAACAACATACAGTTAGTGGACTATATATAGTAATAGCAAAAGTTAGATTCTCTTGGTCCAACAGTTGTTCTTATTTTATATTGTCTCCAAGAAACTGAAAAGATATACCCAGCATATGTGATAAAAACAAGAATAACTAGAGAAGAAAAAGCTTTACCGCCAAACAGATGGCTGGCAGCCACTATGTATGGAACATAACAAACATATACATGCATATATGCATATATGAGTTCATTATATGTACAAGTATATATGAATAAAGATTTCAATACCAGTTCACACCACATAATAGTATAGTACCAGGTCAGACAAGTCTATGATCGCAATGCCATGTACCATACCAATGGTCCACTGTAGGAAAAAATTGTAATATTTTTGAAGTGTCAGTGCTCTTTGATGCATTGGTAAACTGTGTACTATTTAGTTTGAATCCATGGGCATATATTTGTTTAAATATACAGTCCATAAGAATATGAACTACTTTAGCCATGAGCAAGAGACAATTTTAGTCGTCACAACATTATATTTCACATTACCTTTGCACTTAAAATGCGCCTATTATCCTGCTTCACCATCTCCATCAATGCTGTCTCCAACTCCTCAGCTCTTGGAAAAGAACAAGAACTTTAATTCCATATAATTGAAAAATGTATTAATGTAGTCATTGATAAAAACGAGGATCATTGTTCCAGATTAAGTGTTATAGGATCATATTTCATCATGAAATAAAATCAATATCATTCACTCTAGTAGAAAAAACAGGTATCAAACACTTCCATTTTAACATAATAGCTAAGATGAAATTTCTAAATCCTAGATTTCTAATATGATTATCAATAAGATGTTAAAAACCACAAACCTGAGGGTAGCAGATCTTTTCTCCTCCAGCAATCTACACAGTTCCACCTTTAACCATGTGGCCTAAAAATAAAGGAATACAGAAGAAATTCAAATGATTCCAAGTGGTCCTCTAAACTTTTTTACTCAAAATAATAAGGCCTGCTAAAGGCACAAGACCCTTCAGTTCAACTTCACAAAAAGAATCAGGAAAAGCATGCTTTCTAAAACCTTCAGCCTTATATGCTCTTTATTTGTTATATTTTGACGACACTTGACATATAATTCATATGAAGTGCCCATTTCAACAAAAGAAATTACAATGGTAGGCAAGCTTGGTCTTCGTTTCCAAATAATTTCAGTTACTTGAAAGTTAATTAGGCAGATGATCATGTTTCTAAAGATAATCAATGTGTCTATTTTCGGTCTTTGGGCCTTAGCCACTGTTGAAGACCAAGGTAAACCAAGTAGAAGGCCTACACTCTTATTTACTGCTCTAACTTGGTGAAATTTGGAGATGCTAAATATCACACAATTCAAACTTGATATATTAAGTGAAAGAAGCCACAAAATATTAAAATAAGTAGCATGTTTTTTTGTTGACTAATAAGAAAACTCTTTTTCTAAACTTTCGTAAATAAGATTTAAAAGACAGATTACAAGCTTTAATAATTTTTATAGAAAAAAATAATTTTGGTAAGACATTTTTAGCAGATAACACCTGATTGCCTCAATTTGATTCTAGTGTTTTTTCCCCATAGCACAATTTATATTTTTCATAATTCTCCTAATTATATGATAATACATTACCATATGTTTTGTTGTCCTATTCAACATGTATATTATTTGATTGATTTAGAATGACAATCATACAAAAGAAAGAATTTTGGTAGTCATCACTAGATGTGGCAGTTACACCTGTCTGTTCCAAAATATATAAGATAGCAAAGTTAGAGACTTGTAAAGAAAACGAGACAATGCACTATCCAACAGTTGTCATAGATCTTTTTTTTTTTGAAAAAACTAAAAGAAAGCAACAATTTCTCAAATTGGAAGTTAAAACTGTGCTTCAGAATGAGCACATCAGAGAACCAGATCCAGCATTCAGGCTTAGGTAACCACTTTTTGCATTGACAGTAGTTTATTTTTCTAAGCAGTAACCACTTTTAAATTTTATTATGTATTAAATGTCCTGAAGATGCCATAAAAAGTGCATACCGCCTATACTGTGTTGGACGTAATAGTTGCATCAATAATCTATTTCTCTAAGTTGCGCTATTGATCATCTCACTCTTGAAATTAGTAACAGGAATCCAACCTGGTACAATAGAAGCAATACCTGTTCTTTAAGATCAGGTAGAGAATCCAACTCTGCATCAACTGTCAGAGTACTAAGAATGCCATCCAATTTTGCTGAATCAGACTCCATGGACTGTACATCTCCATTGGTGTTCATTTCACCTACATTTTCTTTTGATTTTGCTTCTGATACTAGTGGTCCATTGTCACGCTTGAAACTATATAGTTTAGATGCAAGACCTTTAGAGTCTCTCCAAACACGAAGTCCTTTGGATCTTTCCTCCATGGCAGCAATCACTGATGGTCGATGTTTGTTCCTTAAATCTTGTAGTCTCACCTCATTTATAGGTTGATATCCCATGCAAGCTGTCAAAACAAGCTGGCTACTGTCAAAAGTAGAACCAGCAAGTGACTGCAATAATGTAACTGCATCTCCTGCATCCTTTGTTGTCACAATTGCAGGACCTAGAAATATGCATTAGAAACACAGTACTTGGTCATATTCCATGCCACAAGTTGTTCTCATATAGTAAAAAAGGTAAAAAAAAGTGAGTAAATTAACTAGTACCATATAATTCCATCAAAGCTAGTGCTGTTCGAAAAAGCATCTCCCTAGTCCCATCAAACAATAGCACATCCCAGACACGAAGAACTGTGATTTACAAACATCAAACAAGATGTTAATAAACATATTACATATCACAATCCTGAAAAATATGAAACAAGAATGGTAAAAAGAAAGATAGTAATAGAGAAAATTATGTAGAGATAACCTAATAGTTGCAAACTACAGAAAAAAAAACATATGAAATCAAATAAAACCTGACCACTTTCCCAGGGAAGCATATTCACGAAAATGGAAAGGAACCAGGGTCCTGTAACCCATGCAACTTGCACTCCAAGATAATCCAGATGATTCACTGCAATATAGTAAAAGAAAATATATGTGAATTTATATTTGTTGATATTTTTCCAGCACAATCTTTTAAAGACAATCAAGATATTAGTAAAAGTACAAGGAGCTAGGACCTAATTTTGGAAATCTTTCACGAACTAAGTCCTCCAAAACAAGTTGGTCCACCTGGTACATATGTGCATGTATTGTCATGTCATAATGTAACAACAAAACCCACCATTATGCAAAAGAGAACATGCAAAATGACTAATAAGTTAGGAACTAAAAGCCAAAAATAAAAAGAAAAAAACACTGCAATGGCATATCACCTGAGATTCAATCATTTCTTCAGAGTAGTAACCATCAAAATAGTCATCAATGATACCCATCAAAGTCCTGTGGTACTTCAAGAAACTTAGGATCAGTACTTTTTCTACGCTATATATACCTAAAGAACAAGATCATTACTTGCACTGCTGAATTATTTAAATCAATCATATGATTTTTCTTCTGCACATGAAAGGGACATCCTTGATTAAAACCTAAGACCCACCAAAATGCATTTTCCTCTGGCATCAGCAAAAGTAGTAATCCTGCAAAGAAATTCATCGCCTGCAGAGCACAAAATCAAGATGCTCCATTTAGATATGCAACACTCGAGTTCAAAGGAATATGACTGGAAGCTCACTGAAATAATATAAAGGAATAGCTGAGAGGTGATTCTTATCCACATAATTGCAGAACAATAATGGTTGATCAAACTCAAAGAGTGCTAACATGTGAAGAAAAAGCTCAGAGGGAATAAATAAAAACAGAATCTCAAGGCTATATAAGAGCTCCTAGGCTTTGTTGCAAAACTCATGGCAAAACTATTCACAAGAGAATGATAACACCAAACAAAGGTATAAAACAAGAATAAGAAGAAAAATTACCTGACAATAACCAACAGATGGATTATGTCGAGCATATGCAGTGAGTAGCCGCCTCAAAGCATTTCTCCCATCCTCATCTAGAGCAGGATGACCAGGGAATGTTCTGGGAAGATCCTGTAACGAGAAAATAAGCAAGTCATAAGAAATTCAGCAGCATTAAATTGCCATATCACCTAATGATATTGAACACCATGTTGCCAGACACCTTCTCAATCTGTCCCTTCCATTTTTCAGTTCCCAGAGGTCGTATTGGTTTGTTTTCACTGCCAGCTTTAAGTGGAGCATCAACTTCTTTGGCATCTGTCATAGATTCTAGACCTAGCAAATTACTATAATATCCATCTATCCTGCGAGCTCCAACACCAACAAAAGCTTGCCAAAGCTACAATCAAGGACAATGACAAACATAGATTAGTGGAGACACAAAAACCAGTGGTAGCAACAAGCAATGAAGAGATAACGACTGGAAACACCTCTCCTCTAAGAGCCATTGGGAGGCCCCCACGGACCAAGCACTCCAATTCTTCCTTTGTCTCTTCAGGTATCCCTTGACTAGCCATATTCATATTGGAATCAAAATTTCCCTCATCTCCAGAAGAAGCTTCATGGACTGGCTCAGATCTCTCCACATCATAAAACTCATCATCTGAGTCTTCGGAGGCTCTCGACTCTTCAATAGGAGCAAGGTTCGTCCTACTCCGCTGGGCAACTTGTTCACCGCCTTCCATGAACTTTTTCTTCTTTACTCGATGACTCATCATCTGCTCAATGGCACTAAGGGAAGGCCTGATCTGGGCCCAAATTTGGGCCTGATGAACTCCTCTATGATTTTCTGTTGTCTCCTTCCCGGATCCAACTTCCTCCTTGCCATCGCACTCGCTAAGCTCATCAGGGCTGCTGTCCTTCTCGGGCACTTCAGCCGCTTCCAAATGTGCCTCAGTTTTATTTTCCCCTGTGGACAAGTCATTGTTGGGCGTACTCTCAAACTCGGCCAGCCTCTCAAGGAACTTCTTCCATCGCTCGGATCTCTCTTCTTCCTCCTCCTGGAATCAAGAACGGTACGATGTCCTAAATTGATCCACGACATCAATGCCGCCAAAACACATATATATATAACGGGAGAAATTGGTGATGGAACCCTTGCCTTGTAAATATTCGCATATTCTCGGTACCTCTGCAAGTGTTGAGGCCGCACTGCAAATCCATATGCATCCCTGTTCTCATCTCCCGCAATTAAGAACAACACACAGATTAAATTAAAAAAAAAAATCCTTCAAAATTGAAGCCTTATCCCATAAAAATTCAAGAAATCAGGAGTCTACAGAAGAATTAACCTAATTCTACCTCAACTCAACTGCCATAGAAATGGGAATCCTAAATGCAAACAGGGCACCATAAAAATGCTCCAATTAGAACATCCATCGACTAATCTACCACTCCAGCTAAAACCCTAGATTCCAGAAGGGGATCTAGGATGTCGATCCGCGAACAAATAATTCACGATCACGCCCGAATTAAGAAAAGAGAAAATCCAGAAAACCCAACACGAACACACAAAAGATCCAGAGCGCAGAAGCCCAGATCGGGAACTACATTGCCCCAATTCTAATCTCAAAGACCCAGATAACAAAACAAATCGGAGCGGAACGAGAGCGCGCATCGCGGAGAGGATAAGCCCGCGACGTGATCAACACGTGGGCGCGATCCATCGCCCCATGACCATCATCAGAACAAGAAAGAGATGGATCGCTGCTCATCACTCACCTCTTGTGCTCGAACGTGATGATCGGGAGGCTCTTCCCCTTCATCGCCGCTCGATCGTGGAGATAGAGGGGTCGAAAGCAAGAAAGAGCGGAAACTGGAAAGATCTTGACTCAGTGTCGACCGAGTGCTATTGCTGGTTTATTATTTATGGCAGTTCATATATACGTACATATATATAATGTATATATATTATTCTATTGATTTGCTTTTGGCTGTGAAACATATATGGATTTGGGGTTGCCGAATGATGACGTGAGGTGAGGTTCCTTTCTTCCAAAAAAATACTTTCCTCTACCAGTTCGACCGATACCCACTTTCCTAAGTTTCTTATAATTGGAAGAAACAACGACAAGGCCTGACACTTTCTCCAATTAAAAGACGGTACTACGGCGGGTAACCAACACGCGGGTAGAAAAGTATTTATGTTATCTTTATTTTCCGACCTTTCTGTGCCCCGAAAAAGTCGTTCAATATGATTAAGAGCGTCTCCCGGGGGTTAACCACACAGCAAACACGATCCACGTTCAGCGAATCAGCCACATTCCTTACCCCTGTGGTCATTGGCAGACCTTAGTTGGGTCCCACTCGGACCCAACTGTGGGGCTCTGTAGGTGAGCGACGAAGTGAGAGTCCAGGAGGTAAGAATAGAGTTTTCATTTTCAGATCTGGAACTCGATAATAACGATGTGAAACGTGGCGCAATGTGATTGGATAATGAGCTGAATAGACATAATCCTAACAAATAAACACATACTTATTATCACAAATAATTCGAAAATAAGGTTTTTGGTGGCTCGATATGCAGATGGGTGATTCGGGTCATTAGCTGCGGCTCCAAACCAAATGGCCATGTTTGGTGGAGAGAAGGCATGCATGGGCTGGCACCGTCCGAGGCACATCAAATCAGCCATGGCATGCGGAGACACACTCGTGGAGGTCACACTGACACGGTTAAATAAATGAGTAATATATTTGGGATGGTATAATCCATGCAAGCGAGAGAGAGAGAGAGAGAGAAGGGTCGTGGCATCATGTGAGAGCTATCAATTCAGTACTGTGTCATTCCACCGACATCTTCAAAATAATCTGCATATGTCATCATTATGCTAAGTAAAGCGGCTGATAATTTTATTGTATTTGTTTAAGATATATACTTATTGCTAATATCAATTTCGATCGTATGTGTTTGAAATTGACTGAACGATTATACTCTTATTTATAATGCTAAATATGAATTATATTTCGTTACAATCGAGACTCAATTTTTTTTTTAAATTAAATTATATATAATATTATATGAAAAATTAAATGATGAGTCCTGAGATTGGAAGTCAATTCAAATTATATTACCAGTAAAATTTAATATATGTAATTCCAAAAGTAAATTACGTACAGTATATGGATTGCTGACATTGACATATGGTCAATATAACTACAAGAGACATGTAGTCAACATATCAAGTGATAAGATTCAGCACGTCAATGGAGCAGAGTGGCAAAAGGTCTCTGACCCACTTTTGTGTCTCACTGAGAAGACAAAAAGATACAAAGCACTTCCCAAAGCAGTATAAAAATGCAGCGGGAATTGAACAAGCTTAAGCGATAATACAATCCAATATAAGTTTTAAGAATTATCAACAACATCATCAAAGTATTTATCATGATATTAAAGCAACTTATGAATTCAAGTCATTTATTTGTCCCTTTTTATTCAAGTCACTTAAGGATATAGTAGATTATTTTTTAATAATTTAAATTTAGAAATTATTTCTGCCATAATAAAATTATTAGAATCTGAGTTATAGAGCAATATTTTTGTTTGTGACGATATATATATATATATATATATATATATATATATATATATATATATATATATATATATATATATATATATATATATATATATATATATATATATATATATATATA